ATTAAGTTGCTCTTCCAGATTTCCACAAAGAACAATGGTGCAAGATAGCCAGTGCTCTGTAAATTTGTACACTTCCTCACTGCACGCTAAATGCCTCTTGCAGGCAAGTGTTCTGTTCGCTGGGATGATTTCTGACTTGCATTAACCTAAGTGAGACTGCATTGCTATAGCTGAACCGATAGTGTTGCAAAGATAGAGTCATTACAATACAGGCAAAAGCCTTAAATCAAAATCCCAGCTTAAGCCTAGCGACATCCATGCTTCCATGTCAGGCTTTGCTGGTGCAGTTCACAAGGACACATGTATGCATCCTGCCATGACTCATTCCCATTTTCAGCCCATTGTTCATGCCACTGGTGTCAGGAAAACAGCTTGGATTAAAAAGTAACTCTCAAAAAATCTTGTGAATGTTTCTAATCCCAGTCATCCTGTTAGTCTGGTGCAGAAGCAGCCCTAGGAGCAGGAGCCTTGGGAGCAACAGGCAAGCAGCAGGCTCAGGTAGGAGAGAAGGAGTGTAACAAAGGATGAGAAGGACCTCTCTCTCCAGTTTTGCTGCCAGAGCAGCCTACTGCCCTGGGAGCTCTCTGTGCTTGTACTGGAGCTTTGTGAGCTGGAATGCTAGTGGTCAGTGGGCATCGTCCATGTTAGTGTGACATTCACCATGGCTGAGGCAGAGATCAGAGGGCATTAAGCTTCATATACAGCTGCCCTAAAGTGGGATGAATGAAATTAATTTGTCATAAAATGCTGCCTTCCAAAGGAAGTGCCAAGAATGCAATTTCAGGGCCTTAAGGGAGATTTTATTCCGAGTGCTTTTGCTCAAGTATCAAACACACAGGCACACAACCTTGCAAAGATCAAGAACAAGACCCGCATTGTGCTGTTATTCTGTGACTTCATAGATGGGTAAAACTGCAAGGAGCCAAAACTTCACTCTAAGTCATTCCCCATGCTTTCTCTCACTGGAAGAGTCTGTTTGAATACTCAGACTTCCTCTTACTGTGATAAGTAACCAACCTCATTTGCTTTTAATGCCAGCCTGAAGCCTCAGCTGCCAGATGTCTCTTGCTTGAGCAGCCACTTGGAGGAAGAAAGGCAGCACTTCTTTTCCAATATTTTAAAATGGTGCTGAAAGGAATGGTCACAGTGCCTATACATAAAGTACTGTTTAAAATTATATAAGTAACAATAATAGTAAGTAATAGAAAATGTTGCCTTCGCTTTCACAACTCCCCACTAGATTTTTTTTCTCTTGTGTGCACTCTAACTGATTTTGCAAAGCATGTGTAGTTGATCCTGAAGGAGGCTAATGAAACTTTTTATAGCATTTTCAGGCTACTCATAAAAGCGCTGTATTGAAACTAGGAATCACTTGTTTGATGACTGATATTGTTATTATTTTCTAAAATTAAAAATAGCCCATGCTAAATTTAAGGTCCTTCAAAATAATATATAATTGTGGCTATGCTGTGTGGGTTTTTTTTGTGTACAAAAGTCACAATTTCTGTCCTCAGTTGTCCAAGACATGTGGTAGCGGTATCTGCTACAATGAAAAGTAGTAGAAAAGGACAGCATGCACAAAAAGGTTTTGGTCCCTATTTCTTCCAATACCTTTCTCATATCCCTATAACATTTTCATTTGCCCATTCAGAATCTCTTTTCCACAAAACAATCCAGTCCTTCCTTGTACTCCGTGTTCTCAGCACATAGTTGTACAGCCTGACTGTAGGGCACGACCAGTGAATCATAATAGCAAATGTCAACAGCAAAAGATCTCCAATAGCCCATTAGCTGTTTGAGTTCATATTTGTTATTTACTGAGTGACGGTGAATAATGAACAAATTGCTGCAAATCATTACAGATTTGTGGCTAAGTCTCTAGTAAAAAGGGAAAATCGGTTAAAGTAATTACGTAATTTATTTGCAATGGAAAAATTGCCTTGTTCTCATTAATATTATATAGGTTAGACATAGCACTAGCAAGAGAATAAAATCAGTTAGGGATGCAAAAAATGGAAACAAAAATTAGAGGAGAGTGAAAGAAATTCTCACAAAATGCCTCCGCTAACCAATTATCAGCCCTAATCTCTGTTATTGAGACCCATACAAGCATCAGACAGTGCTGGAGATAGTCACTCCAAGTTTTGCCTGTAGTCAGTAGTTAGATGAGTACATTAAGTTAGGTACATCTCATTATAGCTAAATCTTTGGTCAGCCATCCTAATTTGTGCATGAGTTCAGATTTATCTTTATGGAGTCGGGCCAGTATGCAAGTCTGCTGGCCATCCAGGCAGGCCTTCCGAGAGGTAAATCAGAATTCTGTAGCTGTTGTACAAATGGGCACAGGAGGCCGAGAGCGTACCACTGAAGGAAAATGACAGTTCCCAGCATACAGATTGAGTAGTGAGGGGCCGAGCCTAAAATAGAATGGTATCTAGCTATTTTTCCATTGGCTTTGCAAAGCACACAAGGGGATGCCTCTTCATGCATTTGCTTGAACCGTCCTCCAAATCAATTGCCATTTTAGGATAGTCTCAAGGACTGTGTAGAGTGATGTCCCGAAAGTGTTTTTATGTTTCCTCTTTAAAGAAAATACAGGGTATCAGGAGTTAGTCTTATCAGACATTATGCAAAATCTTGTGACAGATAAAAAATCCTGCTTCATATCTAATTAGCTCTAATATTTTTTTCATTGCAAAGTCAAAGGCTGTCCGAATTAATGCAGCTATCTGAATATTTGGAGCCTATTAATGCTGAAATGTTGTTTTGCAAAAACGTGCTATAACTAAAGCTCATGATGGAAGTAATTTGTAATATTCAATGACCTCATTTTATACTGTTTTGCTCACTAGAAGCTAATGCATACGATGCCATGTGAAATTTTCAGAGAAGCCTGTCTGCAGGACTTATGGGAGCCATAAATGGATTAAACTTCTCACTCCCTGCTTTGGCAAGTGATCAGTTACATTTAAATAAAGGTCAGTCTGTCTTTACAAAGAACACACTGGAAGCAAGCTTAATAGCTTTCCCTACTGAGCCTAGAACATAACTATTTGACGCATAATTAACAGCAGGGTGCCAGTCACTGATTGTGCTTTTTGCTTTATTTTACGTCTGGGGAGTTCCAGTATTCCCCATTAGTTTTAAGAGAGGGCACGGTGCTAGTTATCAAATTGACAGTCTTGACCTGGCATCTGAAAGCAGCTGTAAAACATTGCTTAGGGCAATTAAGATGAAGGCCAAATGCTGTATCAAGACCAGGACTGCAATATTGCTACAAATTGGACAGTCGTGTTCCATGCCATGATTCCAGACAACAGTGTAGGCATGGTATCTGCTAGATACGAGAGTGTGGACTTGTTTACTCTCATACCAGGTGATAGTGATAAGGAAGTAAACCAGATGTCCTATTACCTTGTCTTTAAAGATTTTGACCACAAAAGGGTTAATTTGTAAAGTGACTTAAATATTTAGCCCAGTTAAGTGTAAACACAGTAAGTCCTGGTTCCTGAGGATATCCCATTTGTTTAGGGTTTCTTGACTGATATTTGTAGCCTCTGTGTCAAAAGTGATAACCATCTACATGTGAAGAGAACATGGCCGACAGAACAATTTTGGTAGCCTGCAGACAGCCTGAAGTTCTAATGGAGATCTGTGAATTGCCCTGACCTGCTGGACTGGAGCACCAACTTGAGCAGTCCAGTGACTGCACTTCACTGTCGTCGGTGACTAATTCTGCTCTGATCATTTCATCTAATGCTACCAGAAAATGGGTAAGAGCAAAGTGCTGGGTACTGGCTTGTGAGAATTTCTGAGATAAAACAAGAGCAAACTGGAAAGGTAAAGAAAAGACAGGGGAAAAAAAAAAAAAAAAAAAAAAACAAGGAGGAAGAGAAAAGACAGTGAATAGGGTAGGATTCAACGGAAAGCATCTATTATAACATGAGTATATTAAAGTCTTACACTTTTGTTAAGGCTGTATTTTTTTCTTTCACCTCTACGTAAAACCAACTTTCATCTCATCTACTCACATCTGATTCCTGCTTGATGACTGCACTCCTAACTCAGGTCTACTATGAGTGAGCAGAGGTCAGTAGCCCTAGACTGCATCTTTTTTATCAGTCATAAAATAGGAACCAGAAGAGAAGGATGGCCAACAGGAGATTAAAATAAAACCATCCAATTTTCTCAGTTTGTCTGCACTTCGAAGTTACCCACAGGATTTTAGTTCTGCTGGTTGTTATTTCTTTTCGTGAACACAATGTCCATTTTAAGAGTTCATTAATTAATTACAAAATATAGGAATTGTCAAGGGAAAAAGAGCTGCATTTGGTTTCACAAATCCTTAGACATGCTGAAGTAAGAAAACTAATGTCTTAAGCAGTTTCATGTCAATTCTGCATTTCTTCCTCTCTAAAAGTTATTTGTGCTTTTCTTTCTTTGTTCCATTTCTAGGATTTCTTTTTCCTGATGGAAAATCTGTATAGGAAGTGGAGAAGTCAGTGACTGATTTACTTGACAGAATTCAGCTTATATGAAGGTTTCATTTTTTGCAGTCATTCTACAAAGCAGCCAACTAATGCTCTGCTTCCAGCATTGGCACTTCAAGGTCATATTTCTTTGTTTCCACCACAGGTCAGATTCCATCACCAAGAAAAACTAATTTCAAAGCATCTTCCATCACAGGCACTCCAAAATATTGAAACGGAACAGCCAGCCAGAGAAAATACTTTTTTCTTTAACCCATCAACCCTGCATCAGTGAAGCAGAACTCTCCTCCAGCTCTGGCAGTAAGGTTTGCTAGTCAGGTAGCAAACACGCTTCAGTGGCTTAGAGCTCCATAATGTTTTCTCTCTTCTGCAGGACGCTTACCTCAAGAATTGTTAACATCCAGATGTATCTCCTTGGAGCCTTTTAGTATGTCCATGTTACCTTTTTCCACATGTTTATTTGAGCACTTTAAATACTACTTTAAATACTTGCTTTGTTCTCTATTTTAGGTCATGGGTTATATGGGACTTTTGAAATGTTGTCCTCCTGGAGAAAAACTAGAGAAGACCAACATGTTAAAGAGAGGACTGCAGCCGTATTTGCAGACTCCATGCTCTCGTTTTCCCTCACCACTGCCATGTACCTGGTCACTTTTGGAATAGGTGCCAGTCCCTTCACTAACATTGAAGCAGCCAGGATTTTCTGCTGCAATTCCTGTATTGCAATTTTCTTCAACTACCTCTATGTACTCTCCTTTTATGGTTCCAGCCTGGTGTTTACTGGCTACATAGAAAACAACTACCAGCATAGTATCTTCTGTAGAAAGGTACCAAAGCCAGAGGTATTGCAAGAGAAGCCTGCATGGTATAGGTTTCTTCTGACAGCCAGATTCAGTGAGGACACAACGGATTCAGAGGAAACGAACACTTACGAGAGTCATCTTTTGGTGTGGTTCCTTAAACGCTATTATTGTGACTGGATAACAAACACTTACGTCAAGCCTTTTGTAGTTCTCTTTTACCTTGTTTATATTTCCTTTGCCTTAATGGGCTACCTGCAGGTCAGTGAAGGGTCAGACCTGAGCAACATCGTAGCGACCGCTACACGGACCATTGAGTATACAGCTGCTCAGCAGAAGTATTTCAGTAACTATAGCCCGGTGATTGGGTTCTACATCTACGAGTCGATAGAGTACTGGAACACCAGTGTCCAGGAGGACGTGCTGGAGTATACCAAGGGCTTTGTGAGGATATCTTGGTTTGAGAGCTACTTAAATTACCTTAGGAAACTCAACATATCTACTGGATTGCCCAAGAAAAATTTCACCGATATGTTGAGGAACTCCTTCTTGAAAGCCCCTCAGTTTGCCCATTTTTCAGAGGATATCATCTTTTCCAAGAAATACAACAACGAAGTTGATGTCGTGGCCTCCAGAATGTTCCTGGTGGCCAAGACAATGGAATCCAAGAGGGAAGAACTTTATGACCTCCTGGAAACCCTGAGGAAGCTCTCTCTCACCTCCAAGGTGAAATTCATCGTTTTCAATCCATCATTTGTGTACATGGATCGTTACGCCTCTTCAGTGGGAGCCCCCTTACAAAACTCCTGCATTAGTGCTTTATTTCTGCTCTTCTTCTCTGCATTCCTGGTGGCAGACTCTCTGATCAATGTATGGCTCACTCTAACTGTTGCCTCGGTTGAGTTTGGAGTTATAGGTTTTATGACCTTGTGGAAAGTGGAACTAGATTGTATTTCTGTGTTGTGCTTGATTTACGGAATTAATTATACAATTGACAACTGTGCTCCACTGTTATCAACCTTTGTCCTGGGCAAAGAGTTCACAAGAACTAAATGGGTGAAAAATGCCCTGGAAGTGCATGGGGTAGCTATTTTGCAGAGCTACCTCTGCTATATTGTTGGTCTGATTCCTCTTGCAGCTGTGCCTTCAAATCTGACCCGTACACTGTTCAGGTGCTTGTTTTTAATAGCATTAGTCACCTTCTTTCACTGCTTTGCCATTTTACCTGTGATATTGACTTTTTTGCCACCGTCCAAGAAGAAGAGGAAAGAGAAGAAGAATCCTGAAAACCGTGAGGAAATAGAGTGTGTTGAAATGGTGGATATGGATAGCACTCGAGTGGTTGACCAAATTACAACAGTCTAACTTGTTTGTTTGTTGCTTTTTTACAGTAGGTCTTACTGAGAAAAAAATAAACCAGTACTGACTCAGTATCTGGAGAGAGAAAGGGGTTTGGAGGTTTCTCCTCCCCCCTCTAAGCTAAATCCAGGAATATTCAAAATGAGAAATTTAAAAAGAAAATAAAAGAGCCAGGGGATTGCACCTTGATCAGCTCCAATAACAGGTATTACGAGAGAATTTGCACACCTGTGCAAAGAGGGGATGAATTTCAGACGCTTGACGTAAAATCTAATGAGAGAGGTTGGGTTCCTAAGCAGCCTTATGCATTGCTTGTGCTGCAGACACTGCAATTATTGTTGCTAAACCCCATGAGATTGAAAGGTCAGCTGTCAAGGATGAAGTAGCACTAAGTATTCGCTGGATGTAAAGGCTTTACAAACTTTCTGCAAAGCAATAACTCAAGTCAGTGAGTCCACTCTTATAGGTCTTAGCCATCATGTTTAATTTTTCTTTTCTCCCCTAATCTAAACATTTATGCAAGACTGTATAACAGATAGCAAACTGTACTGAGAAAGAAGGCAGTACACAGCAACCAAACACTTTCCAAACACTTTTATGCTATAAATCACTTTTTTTTTTCTTCTAAAAATATCCTTATTTTAAAATGTAAATCATCCTGCGTAACATTTTTAATCATGGTTTTATAGCTGTTTCTTTTTCTTATAAAAACAAAAAAAGAAGAAAAAAAAAAAAAAGAGCAGAAAATCCCAGTGACTCTGTCACTGTAGAAACCATATAATTCTATTTTATAAATGTCTCGCTACTAGCTAAACACATAACCTGCTTTACCAACTGTAACCTTGTTAGCACTCTACTAATACATGTGAGCGGATCTAGCAGCAGACAGAAGACGGTGTACTGGATATTTCAGCGCCCAAATCCATGATGCAAACCTCATGTACTAAAACGTTGCTGAGAAAGTGAATGTTAGGGCTCTTTTGGTGAGAGCCTATTTCAGGCCATTCACTAGTAATGCACACTAAAAGGATTAGTAGGTAGTTTTATGGAATGCGTGATTTAATCCCTCCATCTTCCTGGAGTGCCAGTAAAGCAATAGACCTGACAGCTATGGGCTCTTCCAAGACGCAGCAGACCCTCAGAGTTGTACGTAACAAACTCAAGTTGAACAACGTGCCCAAAGAGCCCATATCAAAGTGGCCTATTGGAAACAAAAAAGATTACATTACTGATTCTTGTTGGAGCTGTGAGTTCCAAATAATTCCATCAGTGTCTCTGCTATGGAGTAATACAGATAACAAAGCATTTCGTCCCACCCTGCGCCCTTCTACCCCTCAGAACTACGTGATTATTACTCAGTGGTTTGTTACCGGGTTGGGATACATGAGCCAATTCTCTGGGTTTTGCTGAGAGTGCTCCAGCTATAAATGGCCTGCAAAAAAACCGTCTGCAGGAAGGTGACATGTGCATCAGGCAATCTCATGAATGTACCGACCCAAGAGTGCTGCACAAGTTCTCAGCAGCTGGCGTGGTGCTTGCCAGTGCCTGGAGGTCATTGGATCCTGCAGGAGCCCTGGTGCTTGGCTGCAGGGCACCAGCATTGCACAGACTTAGCGCAGCTCTGGCCACAGTCTGGGGGTGCTGCTTTGTGTGAAACAGCTCTATAGCGTCAAGTCCCAGCCACCCCCAGCTGCCCCGTGCAAAATGCATTAAGGCCACCTTGTGAATGTTAAATTTCAAGCGAGCAAATACTTCTAGAGCTTCCTCCCTCACAGATGAGAGACATTTTGCCCTCCTTGAGGCAGTCTGTTGCGTTCTGAGTAGCAAAACAAGTTGGCAGTGCAGCTGGCAGCATTTGCCTTTCCCTGCATAACTCTTCTCTGACCAAAAGAGAAGGAAAGTGTGTCCAGGAATGCACAGGCTCTTTGCTTGAACGAGCACCATTTGCTGCAGTACCAGCTGAGAAGCAGTAACAACATCAGCCTTGGCAGAAGTCAGACAGGCAGACAATTCAGAGACAGCCAAATGAATGTGAGGTGAAGGGAGAGGCCTTTTTCCCCTCCTTAGACTCAGGTGTGGGGCTATGTTTTTAAGCCAGAAATCATTCCTCCCATGTACTTCCACTGTAGAATTTCTGTGGCAGTCATTATGTCATTTCAATTACAATTTCCCTATGTTCTGACTGTTCAACAGGCAACTGCAGTGGCTTTTAAAATTCAGATGGCATTAACTCAGTTGAGAGCTACAGAGGAATTGCAAACCATTTCTGACAGCAGCAATCTACTGGCTTGTGGGACTCCTGGAAACAGGAGACGTGTGAAAGAGTTGGTTTGTACACAGTAGAGAGAAATACATGGCAAACACTGATTTGACACCTCTGCTACCCCTCATGCTATCAATTCCAAATACAGGATGCAAGGATGGCTTCCATAAGCCTCTCACATCTAATTGAAATGCATAGATAGGAGAGTCTTTAAAGAGATGTCCAATGACAACCTTGTACTTTCACAGATATCATTAAATCTCAGCATGCGAGGCCTTCAGAGATCTTCAAGGAAAGTGGTAAAACCCATGATAAAATTGCCTTTCCGTCTTCAGATCTGTTGGGGAAGGTGGATGGAGGCAGTGCCATGGCAAAATGCCACAGTATGTGCTTGGGCATCCACAGGGTGAGAGGAAGACCACATCTTTGCCCCAAGGGAGAGCTAATGATATATTTGCTCAACCCATTCTAAAAACCTGTTTAAAGGCAGATTCCTCCCCCACCAGGTCTTCTGAGCACCATGTTACCCACCAGTTATTCATGCTGGCTGTCCACAAGTGGGATGGGGAAGAGGACCTATGCCTCTCTCTGCACAGAGAAGTCCATGTCAGGTGAGAGGCAGTTTCTGAAGCCTCACTGCCCCCTAGAAACCCAAAACAGAAACAAAACCAACTTACATACCTGTCTCATCATGTTCCACCTCAAGCTGACCTTCCATTCCCTGCTTGTAGGCTTGGTGATCTGAACTCATGAAAATGCTTAGGGTGTTCTTAGCCAAAGTCTATGAGATTCCAGCCTGAATCCTGATGTTTCAGATAGACAAGAAATGTTCCTTCTCTACAGGTAGTCCGAATACCTCAACATGAACCCTCAAGGTCTCAGACTATGCTAACCCACTTTGCCTTCCTTCCCATAGGCTTTTTCCTCTGGAGCAATTGTCTCCACCAAAGTCAATTGGTATGTGCCACATCCATTGATAAAGGTGCAGGTACTGTGCTCTGTTCTCAGTCCAAAGCACTCCAAATGGCAAACTGTGCATCAGCTTTTACCCTCACTGGTGAGCCTCCGTTTGGAAGACTACCTAGGTTTAAGCAGTTTTTGTCACCTTCTTAAGAGGCTTTCTAGCCCAGGTTTCACTGTGGTTTTGTTTACAGTAGAGATGACCCACTTTTTGTATATATTCAGTGAGTAACAGTATTTATTATACACTGCCAGGCACTGACTAAAATTTAACAGCAAAAATTTTGACTACAGCAAAAGAGAATATATAGGACTGTGGCTCACTGAGAGCGTTTATATTCTACAAACATTAAAATTTCCATACAGTAAGGTATGGTGTACAGTATATTTTTACTACAGGGTAAACATGGGGAAAAAGAACCAACTGAAGTGCATATGTCCACTAACACCACTCCAGTTTTTTTGTAAGATATTTTCTAATGCTGGCTTAGTACAAGCCCATTTTCAATTTACAAGTTCCCTAACTGGAAGAAAAAATGAAGACAGAAAAGTTGGTATAGCTGGAATAATTTCACCATAAAAATTAAGTGATGAAGCCAGAATTTTCTGCCCAAAGCTTTAAGTGAAATTGTTCCACTTAAATTAAAATTGGAGCTGTGAAGGCTGAGAAAAACCTGCCTAGCAAAGAAAAAGAACTTCTTTTCCAAAGGCAAGCAAACGCATTTATCTTGGACAACTGCATGAACCCGGAGGGAAAACAACACCAGAGTGGCTTGAGGTTGCATTGAGCCATGTGAGGATTCGCATCTGCTCTCAGAAGCTTTCTGAGCCAGCACTGCATTCAGGTAACATGTGTACTGTAAATTGAAAGGTGTACTTTTAAAGGCTTTTCTCTGCGCTAGCTGTCCTCCAGCAAGCCACCAAATCCCACCGCAGCCAACACCTCATTTATTTTTATTAACCAAGGAAACAAAACAGTAGCAGCACAACTGAGAAAATTCAGGAGAGGGAGAAAGAAATTGTGATTTCTCTTTTAAACAGGGAGAAAGTCAGAAATGAGCTCTTTGGCATGTGATCTTTGCAGGGGGGAACTTTGAAAAGGAAATGGATGTTTATTTTCCTGCTGCTTAGGTTTGAAAATAGAGTATTCTTGGAAATCTGGGAAAAGGGAGCAGGGTGGAAGAGCTGGCTTTAGGTTTGCTGTGCACATGAAGCTATTGCAATTACCCAGGAAGGGACAGGAGATGTAGGCAGGATGGGAGCACAGGAAGAAAAGAGGACATGCATTGGGTCAGAACCAGAGCATGGACACTGAGTGCATGTTACAGCCCTGCCCTGCACAGCACACAGGGTGTGTACAGCCCAGAGCCTGTGCATAGAGCAAGCTCCTGGACTGCCTGACACCTCTGCAGCACCTCTCTGTTCTCTGCGTCTAGAAGACCCTGAACAGAAAAGGTTGCCCAAAGCCTTTCCCTCCCCTACATACGTGGATATTAAAACCCAAACTCATACAAACCAAGTTGTACAATTTGAGCCACATACACTGGGGTGAAATATATATTCCAGCATCTCCAATGAGAAGGAGATGCATCTGGGCAGCATTCTCCTCTCACAGCTGGGCACCCAACAATTTTCACAGGGCACCCTGGATCCCCAGGGCAGGCACAGGGGAAACCTTACTCCCTCTCCCTATCCCCAGTCTTGTTAGAGAATGGGGAGATTTAGTTCCAAATTTTGGCAGGGATGAGCATCTGTGATTCCATTCTCTGCCAGGAAAGTGCAAGAGA